CTCTCTCTCTCTCTCTCTCTCTCTCTCTCTCTCTCTCTCTCTCTCTCGGCCATCACCCCCGGTGTCCTTCAGGGTGTATAATCAATGGCTTTCTGTCCAGACTTGGCTACTGCTGGGACAGCTGCCTGGGGACATAATTCTCTAATAGACAATAACTCTCCCCTCGCACTCTATCTCTCATCTCCCTCTGCCCCTCTTCCATCCATCCATCCATCCATCCATCCATCCCTTTCCCTCACTGTCTGCCTGCCTTCGTGACAGAAAAGACAATTTCATCCCGATCCATTTCTTCCCCATACAACTCTTTCTTTCCATTTCTGTGAATAACTATGAATGTGTTTGGAGACTACTATACATCAACTTTTGCATGTGTGTATATAGGATCCTCACTTGTACACACGTCCCACCCCACACACCCTGAGGGCCCCTTAAGCCAATCAGCTGGAAACAAGAGGCTATGATTTAAATTAAGGTACAGTGACAATATAGATTTCATATAAAATCTGTAGAACAGCACAATCAAGAGGACAAGTCACCGTGAAGCTCAATCTAAGCTTATGAGGTGCAAGGTCTACAGAAGGAGAGCAAAAGTAGTGGAAGATAAGAGAGCTGAAACACAGGGGGAAATTAAATTAAAGTTATCTGCAAAAAATGAAGTTGGAAGCTTAAGTGAGGAAAAACGAGGACCAAAATCTGAGACAAAGTAAAACACACACATTGACCGTCACACAACAGCGCGCATTTAGAAAATCCTTTGATCAACAAGCACGGAGGAGAAGGAGGGGAGATGTCGAGGAGTGTAACTGAAGAGAGACGAGCTGCTTCGGACTTCTTTTCCCTGATTTGCATAATGCGTCCCTTGTTCCTCAAACTAATGTTTCTGTTGTTGCCCGAACTTAACAAATGGCCACTTAAAAACCGACATCTCTTCTCTGCAGCACCGCTGTGTGCTGCTGCAGGGAGCTAATCCGCTGGTTGTGTGTCTGTGTGTGTGTGTGTGTGTGCGTATTGAGCCCAGTGCTCCTGGTCTGCCAGCTTCTCACTGCTCCGCTCCAGTGACTTCCTCAGCCTGTACCGAGGATGTTCAGCTTAACTCAGCACTGACAGAGGAGACCCACAGACTGTGAAACACATTGCCGCTGCATTTCCATTCTAATAATTCTGGCTAATCCATATGGGTGGGTGCGAATGTGTGTGCGCATCTATGATGGGTGTCACTGCTCTTGACGTGTGGCAGGTGGTGTGAATGTGTGTGTGCGTGTGTGTTTATGCCATATTAGCTCTGCTGTGCATGAATAAACCTTATAGTCCACTATGTCCACTACATGTTCTGCTTACGCCGTTCATCCGTCTTTAGCAAACCACAAACCACACACGTCTTTTTGATTTGGCGTGCATGTGTGCAGAGGGTTTACGTGCCTTATCAATGCGTGCAGGAACATATTTTTAATAGTGGGGCTGCCCTGGATATGTGCATGCGCTCAAGATTTTACTTGCACGTGCATATTAATGTGTAGAAAATAATTTGCTGAGAGTACATTTTCACTCTTGAACCACAACAAAAAAATGCCTCCACAAATGCTTGAACAGAAGTATTTTAAAATTAAATGATTTAAAAAGGTGAATCTGCTAGTCTGCCCCACAATGTGCCTTGCTGACTTGGCAGGATGGGAATATAGACTATATTGAGGTCGGATAAGGTTGGGTTAACTTACCAACAGTCTTGACGGTGACTGTCTTGGTGGCCGACTTCTCTCCTATCTTCTCCCAGTTCAGCTCTGGTTCAGTGCCAGTCTGAAGCCACTCAGTTGCTGTGCAGCGGTACTGGCCCTCATCCCCAGGTAAGGCGTTATACAGGGACAGAGAGAACATGTCGGCCCGCACCTTCTCCACGCGTATCTCCCCGTAGCTGGAGCGCTCGCTGTAGGAGGGACTGTGCCATACAGTGCCGTCCCGATCGAAGGACGCCACCTCCACCACCTCCTCCACCTCCGCCACCTCCAGGGACGGTCCAGTCGCCTGCTTGTCTGTCCACTGCCAGGCGACAGACAGGGGGCCTGTAGTGGATTGGACGGAGCAGGTCAACTGGATCACATCGCCCTCCAGGGCCTCCGAAGAGTTGCTTGACAATGACACTGTGATGTTGCTCTCTGTGAGGGAAGACAGAAGCGAGAGAGAGACATATGGAGGTCAGCATGAGTGGAGATGGGACACATGAAAGGAGATATAAAAAGTTCCTCAAAATCTCAGCTCCCTCTCACAACAAGAATCATACTTTCTGTGTTATGACATCAACTGGGGCAATGAAACGAATTGCTGAGCCTTGTCCTGGGAGTAGAGTATCATACAGTCCTGTGCGAGTGCTGCGCATGAGTGTGTGTGTATGCGAGTCCGCGTGAGAGAGGACCATAGTGCGGTTTTGTAACTGGCCTCGGGCACATCAAAGTGACAGCCAGAGAGGAGGCCCTTGTGACTTTGTGTGGGTTGAGACTCTCTTTTTAAACCATGTGTGGCTTGTTGACCAAGTCCACATGGGCACGGAAAAGATCACAGGGCTGAGCGGCTCTTGAGAAGAGGATAAAAGTCATTACTGGCTCTTCTCTGTTTTTCTGCTCTATCTGGACTCTCATCACTTCAACGTCCATACTCCATATGCATCACGTATCTCCGGGTTGACCCAAAAGCTCTCTTCGCCCTGCGGGGCCAGTGCTGCTGTCTCTAACAGATGTGGCTTAAGGTTTCTCACTGTTTTTTCTCCCCCCTCAGGCCAAGCTCTGCTGCTTCCCTCTCAGCTTGCTGGCCCTCCTAATAAGCATTATCTCTCTGTGAATATATGGAATAAACTGGCTTCTTACTTCTACCACGCTCAAATGAACAGAGGGAAAAGGCCTTCATCCTGTTTCTCTTCCTTTCTTGCATTGAAACAGTTTGATAGGTTTTTTTTCCACAGCTCATTGTATTATATCACTTTTTTTTGCACTTGCGACTTAAAGAGAAGATTGCTAGACAGTTATACAAGTAGATATATACACCCTCCTTCCTATGCAATTGACTGGTTTCTGGACAGCATTTCTTTTCTTTAACTTTCCCCTTTCCTTTCTCTTTGAACTTTATTCTGTTAATTTTCACATTTCCCCTCAACAGCTCCTTCTTCATTGTTTTTTTGAACTGAAGAATGCATTTCCTTTCTATAACAGTATATCCTCTCTCTACTTTCCCTACCCTTGCACTTATCCTTTCTATCTGTGTGACAGAGATTCAGTGTGGCATGTGAGCTCTCTCTCCCGTTCTCATTGCAAAGGTAAATTCATCCATCAACACCGATTTGTCAGAAGTGTTTACCTCCAGTTTTCCTTTGCTGTCACCTTTGCCTGCCTCTGACTCATCAACTTTAACCCCTGTCGCACCTTATTACCAACTCTCACCCAATTCACCCAATTAAAGTGATGAAGCACATCTTGAAATTGTATGTGTGTGTGTGTGTGTGTGTGTGTGAGAAAGCTCGCATGAGAGTTTGTGAAATCAAATGCATGCCTGCCTGACCACGTCTGCTGTATATCACGGAAGTTCCCTTCCGATAACCACAGCCATTATCCTGTGTAAACCCTATAAACATCCTTTATGGGGCATTAAGGTCTTTTGTTGGGAAAACAAAACCTCCCATACAGAGAGGTTCCCTGGAGACTGCTGCAGGCTCGGGGCCATTGTTTTTGGGCTGATTTAGCAGGGGGTGCAGAGCGGTCATGATAAGGTGACGCTGGCTGCTTGAGAGGAGATACTTCTCTGTGCTTGTTATGTTTTATTATGCTGGCGGCAGCCGGCTCCACACACTGTTCCAGTCCTATGAGACGTAGGTACAGAGAGAAGAGGGAATGAAGTAAATGACCCAAAGTGGTGGAGGGGGTGTTCTCCTGCTGCCACTGAGATGAAGAGAAATCTCAGTGACATATAAATGGATAGTGAGAAGGGGTTTTTGAGCGTTTGACTGTACATTTCCATCGATCAGCTGCCGAGCCTGAATCAAACCCCACCGGCCAGCCCCGCTTAACCCAGCTGAAGAGGTCTGGCCCAGCAGAACGCATTCATTTAGCCGGGGGAACCACTTAGATGGCCCTGGAGAGCGAGGCGCCTTTCTCTGCTTCTTTTCTTTCTCCACGCATTAATTTCATGGCTGTTAGCTCAGCCTTCTTGAGTCCGGACTCTTCTGCTCTCCATTATCCCACTATAGTGTCCCCCCCCCATCCCCCCCCCTCCCCCCACACACACACACACACACACACACACACACACACACACACACACACACACACACACACACACACACACACACACCTAGGAAATGCTGCATTACCATTCCTTAGCAATCCACTCACACAGAAAACACATCAGGAATAAGAGTAGCGTCATCCTTTTCCCTTCTTACTCTCAGTTAACAATAGAGACCGTGCCGCTATCTGTTATAGGCCACCTTGGAGAAAGAGCGATGGGGTGACAGAGAGAGAAAGATAGAGAGCAGGGCTGGAGAGGAGCACAGCATGACATCCCATATGGCCTACATGAAGATAAAACGGTTATTATGAGAAGCTCATCGTTCTTAGTGTAATTGACAACTAAGAACAGGACAACTAAGCCAGTGGCCTCGTGAACAGATTATTACTCACTGAGCGGCTGGACTGTGATCTGGACATTGCGGGACCTCTTGCTGCGGTCGATGAAGTCTCCCGTGGGCGTCTTTTCCCTCTCTGTCACGCGGCAGATGTATTTCCCAGCATCTTCGGGGCGTAGGTGCTGCAGCTTGAGCAAGTGCACGTTGGCGCTCTCTTTACGCACGGTCATGTGTCCGGCTGCCTCGCGGGAGACATAATCGGGGCCCAGGACAGGCACGGCACTGGGGCCCACCACGGCCACCGGTGAGCTGCTGAAGACCCACGACACCGAGAAGAAGCGCTCTGGGACATTCTGGGCCTCAATGGTGCAGTGAAGCTCCAGCGGCTCACCGGCCGTGAAGGACCGTCGCTCTGTGCTCACCTGGATGCTGAAGTCCCGATCTGAGTGAAAAGATGGGGGGGGAAACAGAGGGAATCATCACGGTTAAAGTAATGTTGAGTACTTAAAGAAAACAGCAGAATGGAAAGAGTGTAGTCATGAAAATCTCTTCAATGAGGTGATTTTTGTTATGTTCCCAAACAACTTTTCTCTGATGTTTAAAACAAGACTGATGTCTAAATGCGGCCTACAGTTGAAATGCACAATATTGCTGCCTTTTCCTGAAATCCAAGGAGACAGACAAGGAGACATGGAGAGACAGACAGAGAGACAGCAACAGAGAGAGAGAGACAGAGACAGAGAGAGAGAGAAACTACTAGAGAAGTTTGAGGTCACACAGTGCATCACTCAGGTAAAACGCCGATCTTTCAGAGAGCTCTGTGCCCCCCCCCCCCCCCAGGTTTCACCTCTGCAATCAAAAAAAACACATCTAATTAAAATTCTCTTCAGCAGTCTGAAACAGACAAAGCTGACACTGCTAGAGCTAGTTCTCCCACATTACGCGTGTTGTCTGCGCATGTGCGCCTGTGCTTGCACGTGTGTGGGTGTGTGTGTACGGCTGTGAGTTCAGCTTTATTTGCTGTATTAATTTCCAAAAAGCACAGTATGTATCAGACACTGCCGCTTTGCCTCTCAGTGATTCGGTTGCCTGGAGCTGTAATTAGAGAGCCTTTAAACAGACTTCCTGAGAAACACACTCATGTGGAAAAAGTTCAAAGCCTGCCGTTGATATATAGAGCAGAGGAATATAATGGTGGGAGGGAGTGGGGTATTGTTTACTATACAATTATTATTTAATGATTATCACTGTTAATAGTATATATGGATTTAGAACTGTTTAATTGATAATCACTACAATAATTGATTGAATACTAGCAGTAGTGCACATATTCATGCACATAATGGCACAGGGGTGAAGAGAAAGGCCCACAGATTGCATGCTTCACCTACAACAAGGGCAACAAGACATTGTATTAATTGTGAAAGAAGGGCCACAACGCTAAAAGGGCTGTGACCCGATTTGACAAGGATTGGTTCCCACACAGCACGGAGCTCTATTTAGGCCATTTTTACAGGAAGACTTGTGCTTAGAGGATGCATGTGTTAGTGTTTAGAGCTAATTAGAAAAGAAAAAAGTACTAAGTGCGAGTAGTGGAAGGACTAAGAAGGAAGTGGGTGATGGAGAAAGTCTGAGAGAGGAGAAGAAAATGCAGTGATGGGTCATGACTGCAGAAAATGAGAGGTGATGTGAGAGAGCGAGAGAGAGGGAGGAAGAAGGGAGAGAGGGGAACAAGGAAGGAAGTGAGAGGAAGATGGTAAAAAAGCGAGAGCGAAGGGTACATTAGGATTCTGTCCGTTGCTCCGCTCTCTGATGCTGCATGGCTGTGGGTTATTAGCTAGTGATGGGGCTGTCTTGAGATCCACTCCATCTTTTATAATAGGAGCCTAATGGAGGAGCTGCTCCTTCCCCTTCATTTTTTTTTCTCTCAGTCTGTCAAATATGCACACGGACAGGTGCAACATCAGATACACAAGTTCAGCCTAAAGGGATTGCATGTCGTGCCCGCATTATACATTAAGTGAGTACACGAGAAAGAAATCAAAATGATCCGCGCACACACACACACACACACACAAGCTCACACTCACACCAGAGCCGCACACCGCAGTGCAACTCTGCTGTATTCGCTTTGTCACGTAACAACACCTCCATTTATTATAGATCACAGAGACGACGGAGAGTGACGAAGGGTGCTGAGAGGGGAGCTCTCTGCGCCTTTTTGTCTCCTCCCTGAAGTAGCAGGAACTCATCTGACAAACCCGCTTTACATCTGACTTTCCGCTCTCCTTCTCATCCACCCCGGCATTATCTGGGGCACCATCAAGTTGTATTGGTCCAGAGCGGATCTGATGCTTAATGGAGAAAGGCAAAACAATTCCACTTTGAAGTGATTTACTGGCATGAGACACTCACCACTGCGTGCTGCCTTGGTAATTGAGCTAATGTCAAAGCGGTTTATCACCCATCTCCGTGGCCCTTTCTTGGAAGCACACAAAGAGATGCTATGTATGCGGAATACAGAGCAGTGGGTGTGATGGGGTCACGTCGGGTTGGAGGTTGTAAGTACATGCGAGGAGCCGTAAAGTCGTCTTTGTTTCGGTTTCCGTCAAGTCTCGAGGTTGACAGCGTATTAGATCATTATCACATGAGGCCTACTCCTCAATCATTCACCCCAACAAACCTTTTCCTTCTCTGCACTCCTTGTTTCCAAAACCCTATGTCTGCACGCCACCCCTCGCTCCCCCTTCCTCTTCCTCCCTCTGTTGGTAAGTCCCCATCTCCCTTCCATTAGACAATCTCCTCCTTCAGAGTTGGCAACCGCACGATTTCTCCCACTAATGCACTCAAGCCGCAGACTAGAATGGTGTAATTGTTTGGCGAGGAGTGATTGAAAAAAAACATTTTTGGCTTCTGATCTCCGGGCCACTTGTTGCCTGGGAAATTGTATATGTGGAAGCCCCCCCCCCCCGCCCCCGCCCGCCAAACACCCATGCTGTTTGGAGCTGGTTAACTTATTCCTGGATGTGCTTGTAATCAAACAGACACAAATACAAAAGTGGGGGAGTCTGTGGAGGTTTAGTTAAGCCCTTTTTAGTAAGCTAATGAGCTTAGAGTGAGATACTGATCAGCAATCAGAGGAAGCCGGCCCACATGCATGTGTGTGCGTCTGTTAAAAGGACGGGGGTGATCTAAGTGTAGCAGCATCTTTACCCTCTCTCCACCTCCCCTTTCATTTTACCACAGAATCTCTTCCCTTTACTCACCAGTGGGCTGAATGCGGAGCTGAGTCTTGTCGCTCTGCTTGCGGGTCATGGCAAACCAGCTGCCGTCTGTGTCCTGAATCCACTCCGCGGCCTGGCAGTAGAGCAGGCCCTGGTCCACCGGCTGCAGCTTGTGAATGGTGAGCCTGTAGGACGTAGCGCTGGTCTTATCCAGCCTGAGGTCCCCCGCCGCCATCCTCTGTCGGTACGGTCCCCCGGAGCGCAGAACAAAGTCCCTTGACAAGGTGACCAGCTCCTGAGGGGGCGCGGACGCGTCCTCGGGGGACCGCAGGTACCAACCCACGGATAAGTGAGTGTGCTGCAGTGTGGTCCGAGACACCTCGCAGGTAAGCTGCAGTGTGTCGCCTTCCACCTTGGACAGAGTCTGGGCCGGTGCCGTTACCGTCAACGAGTCAGCGATGACTGCAAAAATAAAGCAGAGGAGAGAATATTAGCACTCAGTCAGGACAGGAAAATAAACAGGCCTTCTGCTGTAAGGGGAAAAAGGTGTTAATGCAACCAAGCTTTTTTTTCCTGAGGTGACTGCCCTCTATTCTCTCATCCATACATGACTTTCACATGTCATTGTGTGTTGATGGTGTTTTCTCTATCTCACACAGCCAGATACCTCCTGAGACCCTTTCAGGCTGATTAGATCTCATGTGGTTATGCTGCAGCAAACTTTAGACTGTCCACTTAAAGCTGTACGCTGGCATCTTACAGCTGCACTTCCTCTCATTGAACTTTTCAAACATATTTTTTTTTGATCACACATACTAAATATACAAGCAGCGAGCTAAAATTGCTGTAATAAATGCATCCAAGCTCTTCTATCTATAACACAATCGAGAACAGAGGACGGACTTCAAGCCAGATGGTTGAGAACAGTGGAGATGAGAGGGGGGGGACAGTCGAGCGCAGGGAGGCAACAGACACATCAAGATGTGATCATTTCAGAAAGCGGTCTGGAAACACTCCACATCGACGGAAATAAACATGTATAGCTTTAAAAAAAAGAAGTTAAGGGACTATTTCTGGATATGTACCAGGGCGCCGCTGTGTATGAGTGTGTGCAGAGGACAGAGAGACTGATAAAAAAACATGACCTGAGATTCCAAAACTTAAAGGATGACAACCAAAAGGAAGTAAGGTTGTGATTAAAACAAATTCCAGTATGTCGAGTGTCTCTCAGCAGTGTTTGGATGCATGCGGTTGGCTGCACATGAGTGCTATCCTATTAGCCTCCTCTCTGGTTGAGGCTGCATTGCTTGCCTTTGGATGATGTAAACATATTACATTACATTACAGTCATTTAGCAGACGCTTTTATCCAAAGCGACTTACAATAAGTGTATTCAACGTAGGTATTCAAGAGAACTACTAGTCACCAGAAGCCATAAGTGCATCTCCTTTTTTAAACAAGCATCTAAGAGCATAAGTACAGTGCAGGAACAAACTAATACGAATGCAATAAGTGCAACAAACGAATACGAATACAATAAGTGCAACAAACTAATACGAATGCAATAAGTGCCACAAACTAATACGAATGCAATAAGTGCAACAAACTAATACGAATACAATAAGTGCCACAAACTAATACGAATGCAATAAGTGCCACAAACTAATACGAATGCAATAAGTGCAACAAACTAATACGAAAGCAATAAGTACTAAGTGGAAGGCTCAGGGTAGTACATACGATTATGCTATGCACACATACCTTAGAAACAGAGAAGATGCAATACGTCAGTGTTTACAATGGACAGCAGTCGACCATTCAAGCCAGGCTGGGATAAAATGAATTGGGCGAATATTGCCAAGAGAAGCTTTCTTGCTTTGCCATGTGGTGATGACTGTGAGCCCTTCTTAGAAGCTAAAAAAAATGGAAGCGCTTTGTGTGGGTTTATGCTCGTGGAGTGCTTTGTCAAGATGTTTGGCTATTCAGGCTCTTAAGGGATTGTCATTCTGAAGACTACTTATCAGCAGGTTTGAGGTAATGTATGTGATTCTCTGCAAGTCACCTGCTATGACTAGATGCAGGCTTTTTCTTTTTCTCAGCAATCATTCTATGAATGAAAAAAAAGAAAAAAAAAAAGTACATGCTACATGCATCTGCGTGTGTGCTCTTGCTTTGAGAACATGAGTTAAAGTGAGCGATGGGGGAGTCGCGAGAACAGAGAAACAGACACCACTAATGAAACAAACGGGGGGGGGAACAAAGGCAGAGAGATCAGAGAAAAGATAGAGGAGGCGGAGAGAAGAGGCTTGACATCTGGTTATTGGAGTTTAACAAGACACTCAAAGAAAGAAACAATGCTAGAACAGATGTGGCAGGAAAAGAAAGTGTGAAATCAGGTGGGTCAGACACAGCGGCACTCTAATGAGATGCTGCATTGTGGGGGATACATACAGTAAGTCAAGACAACAATAAACAGTTTCATGCAATAGTTTGAAGCAATCTTGAATATACTGACACGGTCTAACTCAATACACCCTCTAATCCACTTCTTCATTATGAGTGTTTGATAAACAGTCCAGCAGCAAGGGAGGCAAATTTTAGTCAGGGGCAGCACTAAAACTATTCTGCTGATATATTTGTTTGTTGGTTGTATGAAGGAATGACTAGCATGGGAGTCTTAGCAGGCCTGTACTGGTGTTTGTATACAGAACCCTATAGGTTTAAGCTGCGCAATCAAACCCTGCTAATGTTGGCAACTGCTGGGTGATAATCCCTCAATATTATCATTAACTCACATTCAGTGGAATCACATTGTGATGATACGATCTCAAGTTATTGTTCCACGTGCGCGTGTGTTTTCCAAATAAATGTTTCCGGGTAATGAAAAATGAACACGACTGGTTAGCGAAGGGAAGTTTTTTCTATCATATCCGCCATGAGAATTACGCAGTCGATCGGATATGTGCGTGAGTGAGCGCCTCTGTGTCTGTCCCAGGCGTATCTCACATTCTGCTGCAGCAAACTGCATGACAAATAAATAAATGATACATAATAATAATAATAATAATAATAATATATCACAAATTAATTGGGTGGCATGCTGAAGGACCTTTCATGGTTTCGGTGACACGCACTTTCTCAAAAACACATTTTATTGCCATTGAATGCATGCTGACTCTTCACTCAATACTCTTAACCGGCCCTCATCAGGAAGGGGCCGCTAGTGATAACACAGCTGAGTGCTTCTCTGACCCCCCCCCCCGTCCACTGTGGGCGAGTTGTGGATGGGTGATGGGTGAGGGGAGAGGGTTGGACAGTTTAGATGTTTTTGGCTAACAGAACTACCAGCAAACACACTGCTGCATACCTCTTGGTTGCTGCTCTGCGGCTTACTTTCATGGTTTTAGATGCTGTGTTTGGCTAACCGCTAACAGCTAACAGTTAACAGAACTACCAGATCTGCTGGACCTCTCTGCAACCCGGACGCTGCTAAGCAGCAGACAGCTTGATGGGTTTAATTTTGTTTTTTGGCAAGATTGCAAGACGTGTCTTACACGACGACTTTGAGCGGATTGGCTTCATACATCGCCCTACATTTTTGAGTTTGAATGAAGTGGGCTTTACGACGCCTTACAGCCAATTAGAGTCTAGACGGGGGGGTTAGCCAATTGTGGGATGTATTGCAGGCACACCTGGCAGAGCTCTGCAGTCTACTGAGGACAACCTTCTAACCCATGATGTAGTGTGATCAAGGTCATTGATAAGTTTTGCATCCATATCAGAAAATATCCTATTGTGATGCCAATTTTAACCATATCACCGAGCCCTTTATCCCATTATGTGTTCCGACGATAAAAGCGAATTAAAATAAAAGATAATTTTCATTCCACGAGCATAACAAAGTGTGATTCTGCTCTTCAAGGACCTGGCGTTGCCAAGTCGCTCTGACTCTCCAGTCAACACCGAGGGAACGGCAGCCTCGCGTAGACACACGATTACCACAACAACACACCTACGCTACAACCTGCCATTGCCATAGCAACCCTCCCACACGATGCTGAGGGTTACTATGCCCCCCCAACCCCCCACCTGGGGAAACAGTGTGAAAACAACAAGCCGATGCTTCATGTCCCTCCGCCTGCTTCTTATAAAAATATTAAACACTTTGACTCCATGTGGAGTCCTCTGGGCCAATCAGATCCCCCACATACAGATGTGTCTCCAGACAGAACCAGTGAGGGAGCACCAGCCAATCTCTGCATTTTAGAGGGTCAGACCGAGGCTGTAAACACACCGAGATCCTCCAATAGCCCCACTGACCTCAATCTGAGAAGGATTAGGAACAGGATGCGATGGCATTCTCTGGCACACACACGCAAACACACAGAGACTCACTTTCGTCCCTTGTGAGGACGTTGTGTTGACTTGTTCTTTCTTAGCCATAACTGCTGTAAGCCCAATTACAACCATTAAAACGGTCTTAAAAGACTGGGGATATTCTATATTTTCTTTAGTAAACAAATCCTACAAAAAGACAAAAAAACAACAATGAACTGATCCTTCTATTACAGTGGTCGTGCAAAAACTATTAAATACACAGCAACAAGCCATGCCGTTGCACTGGGTAACATATTTCTTCATCAAGATGCGGATGGGCACTGTTGTTTATGTTAAGTTACCATCCTGCTGCAATAAATATTCGGCGTGGATGGTCAGTCACCGCAGTGTTCCCGATTGCTTTCCCCCCCAGTGTGATTAATGCAAACACACACACACACACCCCCCTTGGGTTTATTCTGTGTTAAGCCAATCTGCAACCACTTTGCAAAGCCAAAAGCTGTGCAGCAACATCTTCCTCGTGTTATCATAGTGTTACCTGAGAGTAAACACTTACGTAACTTGGAAATTAAAATTAGTTTGAGAGCTAATGCTAGGCATCATTAAAATATTTGGATATTTTTAATAAATGTTCTTAATTTCCCTCACAAACCCAAGCAGAACAGACCGTCTGTTGAGGTTGATGAGAATTCCTCTTCAGTGCATTTTCCACCATTTCAAAAAACATAATTTTACCATTGCAAAAAATAACTGTAAATGTGTGCACCACAACTCAATGAGCCCATTTTAATACCCATAAAATAAATAAATACATTTTTTTGAGGAACATAGAGTAATTTTCCTCACTTCTATCACATTCGTGGAGACTGGAATCTCAGAAGCACGAGCGATTAAAACGTCTCTCTCTGATAAATCGGGTATTTTTTTTTGCATTCTGAAATGGAGGTTCTCGTGTGTGGATGTGAAGAAAAACATGTCAGTGTTATTCTGCTTTTCTGAGTGACACCGAAGCTGTCAATCCTTTATAAATCTTTAAAACTACTCTCTTCCTGCTCTACCTCATCTGCAATTTATGCTTTCATCTCCCTTCATTTCCAATCTTCCCCTACTCGCTCAGCCCTCTGAAGTGAACTGCGGTTGTCATCCTTC